CCCCTAGATTACTGATCCGGTATCCAGCGGCGTTAATGTCTAACTTCAACCAATCCACAAAATTTGAAGCTAGACCACCATGGAGAAAATGGGAGCACCGAACGGCCTTTTCGTCCTACTATGGGACTACTCAGCAGTACTCATTCGTTCGGTGCTTCCAAGTTTTCCATGATGGTCTAGCTTCAATTGACTCATGATCTCAACTATTGACTCAAACTATGGTTTTTAGTGAATAATATGCTAAAATAATAATAAGTGGCATTCTGAAATTCGAGGAGGAGCTATTTTACGATAACTGTGCTAGTTTTCGTTAGTGTTGAATACTTCATGATTAAGTAAGCCAATTAATGTCAAACTTCAAATATTGAAGGAATGACACAAATTTATTGCATGTTTTTGATAAAAGTATAGAATAAATTACTATGCTATTTTCTGCTTCCCATCATCTTGTAACTGAACAAACAGATTTTCATTATAAGCAAAGATGGATAGTAGCTAGCAGTGGATTCCAAGATGCGCGTTTCGTCCCATTTGGGACTCGTTAGCTGGATGCAACTACATCTTAGAATTGACGTTCACTCTGGGACTCGAACCCAGTACCGTTCACCTCAAACACTATAGCGTTTTTCACTTAGCTACTGAGTTCTGACAGCCACTTGCTTGTGCAATGAGGTGAAGGTTAAATTAATTTTTTGTTATTTTACTTGTATCTTCCCACTGTTATTTAGGACTGCAACTGATCGGTCTCATGTTCGTATATGTATATCCTGTATGGATTGCCTCGATGTAGCCTTACGTCACAAGTTTTTTAAGCAAAGTACAACAACACCAAGTGAATTTAGATTTTCACTATGTTTTTATGTCAAGCATATCTGTAATTTGACTGACATTCCTAATGAAATAACATTCATTTGATTCATTTAATGATAATCATCTTAAGAACTAATGTTTACTCGTTGAGGATTAGATAGTGATTTTTTTCCAACTTAAGACTCCTTACCACTTAGCGTCTATAAATCTACCTACTATTCAGCTCGATATTTTCAGATCATGAGTGTCAGCAATCGCCTTAGCTTCTTCAACCCCCCCTCCCCCATATTATATTATCCATATAGAACTTTAAGAGATTCTTCCGAAAACTGCTTAAAACGCAAAAACGCGATAATTACTAGAAAAGTACCACTTTGATTAGTTCTTCATGAATGTTAAATGACTGTATCAATTAAATTCCCTTCATAGAAATAATCTAATCCTTTCCGTTTTCATTATATACACAATTTGTGTTTTTTTTTGAAAGTGAAAATCTATTTTTAGCTAAAAATTCACCATCCATTAAGGAATTTTTTTTGTTATCCCATGAGTATTTTTATCCATAGATTTATTTGTCAATTATGTCTTATTCTAATATTTTTATTCTATTTTAAGTGAATGAAACAGAATTATTTCATGGACTATGGTTCTAATAGAATCATTTAAAAGGGTTGATTTTATGATGTTTACATTGTGTTTAACATATTTTATTTGCTTACGCCTGTTGCTCCTCGTGGAGGAACATGGGCCGACCACCAGCACTCTCCATACAACTCTGTCTTGGGTAATCCTTTCCAGGTCTTTCCAGTTGTTATTCGGTTTTTTTCCATGTCTGCTTCCAATTCTCGGCCCTAACTTAATATCTATCAATCATATAATTATAAGTATAAATCATTAGATCAGTGTTATGATGGTTAAGCGCATACTATAAGATCTACAGCTCCAGAGTTTTCTCTGTCTTGGTTGTAGATGTGAAACACTGAAACCTTGATTACTGTTTGATTTTGATTGATTGACCAGATGAAAATCACTCTGTGACTTGGATTATATTCTCGTGGTTATCTGAATTGATTAAATACAACTGATGTGTTTGTTCTTATTTTATTGTTTAAATACTCATTTGACAGTATGTTTGAATGGGATGACATCGAATAACCAATATGACTGAAATAAAATAAGGTATACTTTGACAAATAGTTTAAACATGTCATCTTGGTTGATACTACTAGTTTAGAGACATACAAGTAATATGAATAAAATGTAATCAACTTACGATTCAAATTATTTATTAAATAAAATACAAATCTAAAACAAACTAGTGATTGTTAAGCTGAGGTAGGCAGTGGTTAGCAGGGAAATCCAGGACACGTATAAAGCCCTGTTTGGAAATTTCCAGATCAATGTCTTGGATCCAAATGTCAGCTACCATCTAAGTCTGCTTAAAAATGTTTGTGACTTAGTGGAAATATTAAGACAATCCTTAAGGAATGCACGTACTCGTATGCGGTCAAAAACATCAATGGGAAGATTTAAACAACCAATAAGTATAAATTATAATGATGATTGGTTTCATAACACTTACACAGACAGCAAAATAATTTTCAAAACTGAACATTGCTCTTCATTCATACGTCCTTGTTTAAGAATGTATAAAAGTATTATTATTCAGTTTCTGTTCCTCACTAATTGATCCAGTGTCCACTATTAAGATTGATTATGAATGCTCTTAGAGGTATAAGGGCGGTTATCACTTCCCAGTTCTTCTTGAGTTACCTGAAGAGGAAACTAGGTTAGAGATGGTCTTAGTGACCTGAGAGTGTGACCGCAGTGCCAAAGAGACAATTGTATGAGACCGGTCACCCACGATCATTTTGTGGGTGGTTTTTGTGTTAGCTTCGTAGTTGTTGTGAAACAGTAATCCAAGGGATAAGGTTAGGTGTACATTTGTAGTGTCGATGTTTTGTAACCCCACCCTTCCTTGCGGGAAGGCAGCATCGCTGTTAGGCTGGTTATCTGAAGAAAGGATTTGAATTGACAATTGTATCTCTGCGCTAATGTGGTATGGCAACTCCAACTGATGTACGTACGCACGAAGTTCTGACTGATTGATTCATGAAGGGAACACCTTACTGCAGTTAAACGTTTGTACAGTCAACAGTACGACTTCGTCCCCAGATCTTGGGTTTGCTGCTTCTAGTCTTACTGCTCTTCAGTCAACCTGTCTGGCTTGGTAGAACCTTAAGAAATGATTGTTCCAGCCAGTATAGGTTGGCTGGTTCATCAAGATAGCAGAAACAGTCGGGACCACTATTAATACATATGATTCAATTTTTCATTAGAAATAATAACTCACCAACATGAATCATTCAGATAATGGGGATTCTTAACAAAATTTTAACAAAAGTTATTAAACAGAAAGAATGTAATTGTAAAATCTTGGTGAATGAATTTGTAGTAAATCCAACGTTTCGCTCAGCGATCTGATCCAAGCTTTTTCAAGGAAATACTTCCTTGAAATGTTGGATTTACTACAATTTTATTTGCCAAGATTTTACAAATACATTCTTTCAAATTACACGACTTGTTAATAAAATCTAACAATCATAAAGTTATTGCTTAATTTGCAAAATGTCCACCAATTGTCTCAAAATGACACAGACTTCATTGTCCTTGCATTTTCATACAAATTGCATTTTGTTTCCATACTTTACTGTTCGATCCTCTTGCCTCTCTGTTGCCAGACCTTCTGTTTACGACTAACATCATATATTACTTATGTCAATATAAGTAGCACACACCGCAGTATGACTAAGTATGAAGAAACAAATAATTCATATGACGTTTTGTCGTACGACAATTTTCCCAATTTACAGTTTAAGAAAATCTATACTTTAATTTACACAACTAAATTAATAATGGCATTATTGAATAATTATTTTAAACACATATTCATTATTAGATATTATCTTAATTATATAATTACTTACTTACGCCTGTTGCTCCTCGTGGAGGATCATAGGCTGTTCAACAACACTCTCTATCCAACCTTGTTCTGGCCAGTTGTTTCCAGTTCTTTCCACTTACTATTCATTCTTTTCATGTCTGCTTCCAATTTCTGACATAATATGTTCTACGGCCTTCCTTTTCTCCATTTCCTTTCAGGATTCCAAATTACCACTTACTTTGTGATGTAGTTTGCAATTATATAATCAAGCTTTTTTAATTGCCCAGATTTATTTACAATTATTTAATTGATTAATTTGCTTAGTGTTCAATTAGGAGTAAAATCTATATCCATAATATACATGTATTATTATTATAATTATGAAGCATTTGAGTTATCCATTGTTTATTGGAATGAATGAATGAACTTCATTTTTTGAATATTATTATGAATATGTTCAATTCATAGTATTCTTTGTCTTTTTTTTCTTCATATTTTCTAATAGTAGTTTATATTAAAAGTCAATCATGCATACATTCCAATACAACCATTTCACATTTTCATGCATCATTTAATCATGAATGATCCATTATAGTATACTAGTTAAAGAATAAGTTTAAAGTATTGAAGGGAATAGAGAACTCAAATGATGAAGTTCAATTTATTGTTGAATACAAAATCATATCAAATGGTTTCATAAAATATGAATACTATACGTTAAATACATTAATTGTACAATTTCATTCAGTTATGTTTTATTTTTATAAACTTCATTGCTGTTATTATTGTTCAATTCATTTCAATCTTCTCAATATTCTACTAGTAGGCAGTTACACTTCCGATTGATGTTACATACTACTTATCTCTGTCAATATAAGTAGCATAGATCACAGTATTATTTTGTATGAAGTATTCATATGTATAAAGGTTTATTTTATTAACTTTGATTTTTTTTTTCATCAAGACATTTAAAATCTTAACTGAACTATTTAGTTCAATGATTAATAATGTAATGAATTACTTAACTGATGAGTAGTCCCATACTAGGACGAAGCGGCCGTCCAGTACTTACAGGTTTTCTTTGATGTTAACTAATGAAATTACTAAAATATCTACAAAAACCCCTTCTGAAATGAATAAAGTGGTTAAAGACGTTTGTTTGTTTTTTAAAATAAAACGATGATGATAATAAGACACTGATCAACAATAGTAATTTTATCATTGTTAACATGTATTCAGCTGATTTTTATTTCATGCCACTAGCATTAATTATGATTTGAGTTATGTTTTTTTCTTCAATATGAACTGCTGATGATGATGATGATGATGATGATGATGATGATGATGATGATGATGATGATGATGATGATGATGATGATGATGATGATGATGATGATGATGATGATGATGATGATGATGATGATGATGATGATGATGATGATGATGATGATGATGATGATGATGATGATGATGATGATGATGATGATGATGATGATGATGATGATGATGATGATGATGATGATGATGATGATGATGATGATGATGATGATGATGATGATGATGATGATGATGATGATGATGATGATGATGATGATGATGATGATGATGATGATGATGATGATGATGATGATGATGATGATGATGATGATGATGATGATGATGATGATGATGATGATGATGATGATGATGATAATGATGACTAAAATATCCAGCTCAAAGGACAAAACTTCATGAAAACCAAATATAATTTACTCTAGATTGAGATTTTTGAATTGTAAACATATTCAAGTCAAATATTAACTTATCTATAAGATGAAATAAACATTGACAACTTCATTTCACATAGATTCTCATTTACTTATTAATTGTTTATATTAAATTTCTTTTTCTTCATTATTTAATCATTTATAACCTATTTACTTTTTCTCCTCTTTTATCATATATTATTCATTAAGATTATGTAATAGTTGATTGATTAATCATATGATTGAATGTTGTTCCCCATTTGACCTTCAACAATATTATTTAATTAATTATTATTTTTGAATTATTTAAACAAAATCATGAATATATGAATTTAAATTATGAATAAATAATAAAGAAAGAAAAGAAAAACAAAATTCATGTTTATTTAAACTAATTAAATAACAAATCATTATAAAATATAGAAGATAATAGAAATGATAGAATATAGAGATAGTATATTAATGGTGACTGTAAATTTCTACAATATCCATTATACAATATTCAATGGATGGGAAAAATGCTCTGAAATGTTATAGATCATACATTTATTAAATATAATGATGGGTGCAGTTAAAATATCAATAGTTGAGATCAAGAGTCAATTGAAGCTAAGCCATCATGGAAATCATGGAATCACTGGATGGCCATTTCGTCCTATTGTAGAACGTTTTAGCAGTGCGCATCTGCCAGCTCAGTGGTCTTGTTTTTAACTGATCATGCACGAGACTAATAGGTCCTGGGCTCGAATCTCGCGCGGGGCGAGATCGTGGATGCGCACTTCTGAGGAGTCACACAATAGGATGAGTTGGCTGTTCAGTGCTTCTAGGTTTTCCATGCTGGCCTAGCTTCAGTTGACTCAACTACTGAAATTACTGTAATCTCCATAAAACCTCCTCTGATATGAATTTAAAATAAATAACGTTATAGTGATTAAAATGAATGGAGGATTTTCTAAACCTCAAATAAACTGATAACGTATATGACCAATATATTTCGATGGTGTAATAAGAAGACGAAGACTATCAGATCTATGTTATGATATATTGGAGCAATATATTTACAACAGTTTGATCACATATAAACTGGTTGAGAACATTTATATATAAAATTAAAAGGTCAACTTGATTAGGAATGGAGGGTAAGACGAGACAAGGATAAAAACGAAATAATGTGAACACAATTTGAAACCTCATCACTTTGGATAATAAATGTGAAAACAAACTGTTTTTTGAACATCACTATAGGGTTGTTGAGATTATTAAGTTATTGACTGAGATCTTGAACCTATTGATGTTAGACCACCACGGAAAACCTGGAAGCACTGGATGGCCGTTTCGTCGTATTATGGGACTTCTCTAAAGTGCTCATCCACGATCACGTTTGCGGGATTCTAACCTAGGGCCTTCTGTCTCGCGAGCGACCGCTTAATCTACTTGTTTTTGAGTACACAAAGGGGGTTTGAATTTTCGTATGACTAAGGCCTTAGTATACATTTTTTTAGATTTTTATACAACATTTTAAGAGCTCAGTGAAGATCACTCTTATGACTTGGTTCAGTCATGTGTTAGGCTTTTATTGGGTCATTCGACTGTTTCTGCAACCATGCAGGTACATGTTCACAAACCCTAGTGTTGAGATCACGATTACTCTTCTCTATGTATTTATGACCACACACAGTGGGATGTGACGCAATCGTTTTCTTGTCTTTTAGGTTTTCGATGAAGCATGAACCGTTTTGTTTCCTTGATAATGACCTTTGCTGCACAATTTGTCTGTTGGTAACACATGGACTGATTATGTATTTTGAATAATAATAAGAATAATAATAATGATAGAATTTAATGATTTTCTGTCAAGATCTGTCTCACTTACAAATCTCAACAAGCAAAACGCTTAAGTTCATCGTTGTGTTCAAGACATATGAAAATATTGTAGTTTTCATTGCAATCCAGAGCAGAACTGAGTTAGACCACCAGTGAAAATCTTGAAGCTTTGTATGACCATTTCTTTTGAGTATAAAACTCTTAAGCAGTGTGTATTCACAACCTCGCACACGAACGCTATACCTTTAGATTGTTGAGTCGGCACCTAATGGTGTTAATGTTTAACTTCAATGATTCAACGATTTTGAACAACGATCTTACATTGTCTTTAATAGGTAACTACATCAATAAAATTCAACAAACTCCACAACCCTTTACTGACAGTAAAATGTTTCTTCCTTAGATATTTAGAAATAGCGGAAGAGTATATAAAAGAAAGAAAGGAGTTGAAGTATTTTTTTTCTATGTCTAAAAAGTAATTACAAAGTCTAGTTTCATTAAACATATAAGCATCGTAATATTTCTATTTGCTTAATTAATCAACTATTACATTATTCAGTCTTCAAACGTTTTCTTGGGAAGAAAAAAATGAAATCAAAAGAAATGTAACTGTTTTTATTCACCGACTGATTTTGTTTACAGAAATAGACTATAGTTGTCTTAATGAATTTTACAAGTGTTATAATATGCATTCACTGCTACTACTGAAGAAGAAGAAGCTTCAATTCTATTTGGACCACCATAAAGATATTCCAATAACATGTGATTAACGGTTCTAGAGAAGAAAAAAAACTGTTTAAAGAGAAATTCATTTACGCACACAGTTTACAATGGTAAACTTGTAAAGAACGAAATGAATTAATTTTGTTTTACTTCAAAGTACCGTAAAGATATAAAGAAAAACAAACATTAGATGAGTATTCTTAAATGGACAATAGAATTATTTAATAGTTATATAATGTTGCGAATTGATTCAATGAATACATCTCAATCATCAGATAGTAATTCCACAAGCTTTGATTATTTAAAGATATAGGGGTTAGAGTACTCAGTTGATCTTATAGATTTTAAAATTGGGCATTTATTTCCAATTCTGACATTTGTGTTATAGGGACCGAGAAATTAAAACCAATATAGAGTACCTTTCTTTTCATTACTAGATAATACAATGGAACATAAATTAGTGACATACTTTTCAGGATTAACTGGAAATAAATTAACATGATTAGTAATAGTACAAGATTTTTCGAGCTTTTTACCGTTCCTTTCCTTTGTTTTCATAATGACCATACAACAAAAGTTGATGAGTTTAATATAGCAGACTATAGACATTTCATTCAATATAGGCAATGCTTGAATGTGTAATTCAATTAAATTGATCAGCATATCTTGGCAATTATCTATATGCGATTTTGACAGTTCAATGAGATTTGAAATATTCAGTTGTAATTTACTTAAACGGAAATTCTTATATAGTTGATTTGGGAAATAAGTGACTCGACAAACAAGATTTATAGAAGTTCAGTTTCACGTGTTTCGATACAATTTTACATTAAAGGTTGACAAGTTCATCCAGCCTTTTAATAGTATGTGCAGGGAGTCTTCCTTTACGTCCAATTTTATCACTGTGCAGATCGCCTACACATAACCTGGCTAAATGGCTAACAAAATTGTTGGATCCTATTCGAAGACATCTATGTAAGTATTCTCCGAAGGAATCTTTCGAACTGGTCGACCATTTAGGTGATATTAATATAAAGGAAAAAACAATGTGTTAATTTGATGTGAATTCCTTGTTTGCAAATGTACCTTTCAAAAAAATATTGATATGTTATGTGATTACATATCTTTAAACAATCTTCAATTACACGTCCCTGTAAAAATTCTTAAAGATTTACTACTATTATCTACTGACAAAGTTCAATTCGCTTTTGAAGGTGAATACTTTCACGAGATTGATCAGGTTGCTATGGGTAGTCCGTAAGGACCATTATTAGCAGATGTGTTCATGGCACATGTTGAAAATCTGGCCGATGGCCTAATCGGAAACATGTCACTTTATAAGAGGTATGTGGACGATATCTTAGTTGTTTGTGAAAGAAACGAGGATATGTACTGCTTATTGAATAAATTTAACACTCTCCAAAACCATATCGAAACAATTCTGAAGTAGTATATATATATATATATATATATACGGACTTATCAATATGTTTTAATCAATTCATTTCTAACTGTTCTGGATTGAAAGAAGAAAAAAGAAAACAAAAAAGAAAAAGAAAAAAGAAAAGAAAAAAAGAGAAAAACTTTGAAAACTTTAAAAACACCTTACAAATCACTGCCAACAAATATTTTGTTTAGTATTTTAGATTTTCTAAATTACAAATTATTTCCGTAATTATTTAACACCTTGTTTGTTTGTTTTGTTTGTTTTGTTTTGTTTAATCATTATTATTTCCTGTTTTTCTTTTATTATTTTTTTTTCCTAATAGAGTATAAACTAAAATCACAAAGATACTGATAATAGAAAACAAAAAAAAAAGAAAGTAATGTAATTGAATAAAAGTGATATTCAATATTTATTTATCATTGATTACAATGGAAACATTTATTTGTCCAAGTGATAGACAATTAGCATTACGTGCAAGGTAAGTTCATTATGTATTTATTATTGAATTAACAAAACAATAATGAATTATATACGAATGTTTTTGATAAGTGTGATATATATATATATATATATATATATATATATATCAGAATGGGTTTTGTGGAGATTTTAGAAATTTCACAGATTGAAATCATGAGTCAGTTAAAGCTAGACCACCATTGAAAACCTGGAAGCACTGGACGGCCGTTTCATCCTAGTATGGGACTCCTCGACAGTGCGCATCCATGATCCCGCACCACGCGGGGCTCGAACCCAGGATATGCTGACTTCGCGCGCGATCATTTAATCACTGGACCACTGAGCCGGTCTAGCTACAACTGCCTCATGATTTCAACCTGTGAAATTTCTAAAATCTCCACAAACCCATTCTGATAATAATAATCAACTGCTCACTAGTGACTAACGTCAGGAAAAACTCCTGGAGTTCTAGTGAGAAGCCGTTACCAGTGGAGTTCAACCGGTCTGTTGTGAGATAACAACTCACTGAAGAAAATGGTGTACGGTGGCGCAACTTCGTGGATTGGTTGAAGTTAGACATTAACACCGTTGGATGCCGGCTCAGTGGTCTAGTTGGTTAAGCACCTGGCGTGAGGCTGATAGGTCCTGGGTTCAAGTCCTACGAGGCGGGGTCGTGGAGTCCCACAACAGGACGAAACGGCCGTCCAGTGCTTCCAGGTTTTCCATGGTGGTCTAGCTTCAATTGACTTATGATCTCAACTGTTTAAACTTACGTAATAGTGAATAAAACATCCATCAATCGTCCTACTTGTTATCCTAAGGGGAAACAGAAAAAATTTAAAAAAACAACTATAAATTAGAAGAGGAGAAAAACAATCATGGATTATAATAAGTGAGAATATATTTTTGAACTATTTTTTTAAAAAAATCATTTTCACATTAGTCTAGTAGCATAAACCTAATTATCGCATTACATAAACACATTTAAGTAATAGAATTTATTTTTTCGATTGATTTACTAATAGATGATTTGGCAAAATACATGGATTATTTAATTAAACTAATAAGGGAATTTACGTGGGAAATTTGATTAATCAAAAATGAATACAGTATGCTTACAATTTATTGATAAGTCAAATCAGAGTGGGCGTATATTGTTTATTTTAATTCACTTGGTATTTGTTGAATTGAATCTTCCTATTTATATTTAGTTATTGTAATTGATCAGTCTCTTATTGGTATATGTGCATATTGTCTCGATATTGTCTTAATTCACAAGTATTATAAAACTTAATAGATAAATGGATAACGTCATGGAGTTTGAAGCGAAAGATACTGGGTTGAAGTCCCAGAGTGAACATCAACTCCGAGATGCAAGTACATCCAGCTGATGAGTCCTGGATGGGACGAAACATGCGTCCAGGATTCCACTGCTAACCATTATCCATCTTTTCTTATAATATCTATTTTAATGTTTATATATCTAGGTCTTATTTGATAAAAATGGATTGTTCTGACTTGTAATATGATTTTATCATGGTCCATTCAATGTTTGAAATGGTTGTCAATTAAAGAAATGAAAATAATGTATATTGTAAAAATACTTTTTATATCGTCAGTTTGATTAGATGGAAAACTTTTAAGAGGAAGCATCTTTTTCTAGTTGGTTTTATTGTCAGAAATTCATAAATAGTCTTCAACAATAGTTTGTTTTTACAGCACATGATATTTCCTGAAATTGTTGTTGTTTTAAGAAAAATAAAATAAAAATGAACTATAGTTGAGTTGTAAGCAGAGTTAAGTGATGAATATCAGTCAATTCCAGGACGCGCATTTCTTCCTAATTGAACTTATCAACCGGATGTACTTGGATCCTGAAGTTAGCCTTTACTGCTGGACTCAAACTCAGTAATGTTAGCTTCAATCGCTATTGTGTTATCTACATAGCTATTGAGTCTAGATTGCCTCTGATTTGTACAATGTGGATTGGTTGTTTGAATTTTCCCATTAGTGTTTAAGATTGCAATTGACTAGTTTCTTTAGACATACATGCACTCTGTGAAGCTTGCTTCCATCTTGTTATTAAGTCTCAATGTAAATATCAACTCTGCGATGCAGATAAATCCAACTGGAGAGTTCAGGGTAGGAGAAAGCTTGCATCCTGGTCCTCACTACTGGCCAACAACAAACTCAGCATATTATTCTTGTGAATAAATGGTGATATATCGAAACAATCCTCACAGGATCCACACATACTAAAAGATACTGACCAATTGTATTCGTAAACAACAATGGTAATATTCAAACAACCAATAAAAATGAATGGTTGAGTTGGTTGAAAACAATACACATTAGTAATTGTCAAGATCTATCATAACAATTACAACCACTATAAGCTGAAATATATTTCTTCCCATCTTCGTAACTATGAATATAAGTTTTATAAAGTTACTAGATGTTTAATAATTAGGTATATTGTTGGTAACTTTGACAGTTGCTTATTATTTCTTTCTAATTACGGTCGTCAGTTCATATGGGGATATCGAAGTCTAACTTTATCATGGGAAGGTTAAACAACTGTAAATATTTTTTTGAATACGTTTTGATAACTTTCACTAAGTGTTATGGTCAACCTTTAATATGAATATAGAATACAACAAATAACCACACACACATTTTACCATAATTCATTGATAAATTGAACTGATTGGTCACATTTATAGTTCCACTGAATTATTTTTCAGTTGTAAATTGGATCACGTCCAGAATATTTTTGAACTGTAAGGTACATGTTCAGAATAAATGATCTGTAACTAACAGTAAAGCCTAGAATGGATTTTTCATTCTAATTGGAACTGAGTCATCGGGGAAATTTACCTGTATCTCAGTGTTGATGTTCCCCGTGAAACTGTAATTCAGTACCAGAATAGGTTGTTGTCTATTGATCAACTCAATCCGGATTACCACGGACTTGTTCAATGAGTATGATGTTCATATCATTATTAGTATGAGTTTGAGTCATTTGATTGTTGATATTCAAGAATAAATTTTGATTTGTCTTTGTTCTTACGTGTGTGTCTTATGCAGATAGCCTCGAAGTAGCTGTACTGTTACAAGTTATTCAGAATAGGTGTATGTAATATAGATGTACTGTTTAATTGATAGACAATATCTGTCACATTTCATTCCAATAAATTACAGGACATTTATACATGGTTCTGTATAAATAGAATAATCATGTTTTTAAATATTTGAAGATAGCTCTATTGACAGGGAAATCATTAGAAATTGGTGGATCGTAACTTATGAAACTCTTATAGCGCTATGTACACAATACCTTACACCGGAGAAAACTAATATTTTAGTGACAACACTGTAAACTAAAAATTACGCGTCTTGACAGTCATTTTTCTAATGTTTATTATATAATAGACTGTAGACTAGGAATCGCTGAACATGTGTTTTGTTTTACAGTGACACTTCTTTGCAGTGAGCGTCTACAACCCAAAAAGTAATTAAACTCAAAAAATTTAGGTCTCGAAAGGAGCTATTAAACTTTCAGCCGCTGAATCAGTTTATACTTCTAACTTCAGTCACCCAAAATCCCTTATACTAATAATAAGTTGAATTCTACAAACAAAAGAGAATCTCAGTTTAATTAAACGAAACTGAAATGAAGAGTGTTGATTCCAATGACAAGAACAAATCTTTCAAGCCAATGATTTTAAATGAAATGGACAAAATTACCAACTTAAGTCAACTTGCATTAAGTCATAGATATTAGATAAAACCTAAGTTATTGTCAGTATATACCGAAAAAGAAAAAGGAATTGAATCAACACCAAGGTTGAACTTGATAGTTTCAAATAACTTAAGCATTGGATAGAGAGTTATTATTTAAACTTATGTTAGTTTAATGTCAGTTATTTATTTACTTTGAAGAACTGCCTTACATTATGTCACAAAACGTTAGAAATACAATTGTTCTACTCATTAGGATTGAATCAACGTTATAATGACAGTTTTCGCAATATTCTGTCATTACGAAACTTCCTATTTTATAGTTATTCAATATGATTAATTCTATATAATAATCCTATATGCTCAATAGCGTTTATGGGAATTTTACGATTATAGCAGGACGACCATGGATTAAGATGGATGGCAGCTAATCAATATAGAAAATGTCATATATATACATACGAATACAATGGATACAATATGGAAGATTGTTACAATATTGAATGATTATGCTGAAAATCATTCAATATTCATCAAATATATGATGCGGAATACAATTATTATTATTATTATTACTAAGATGGTAAAGTAAAAAAATACCGTTGTTTATCTAAAAGACTATTCCACTATATTTTTTTCTCGATATTGTTGGAGTGATCCAGAAAATTGCTTTCAAAAGACAAGCAACCATCAGGAAACATTAAGAAGCGTTTCATGCAATCAGCATTCACTTGAAGTTTTAGCCAAAAATATCAAGGAAGTGAATTGTCACATGTAGAGGTTCTGACGGGCTGATTGTTATACTGTTACTATGTTCAGTAGCATTCCAGAATCTTCGAGCAACCCAAGGACATTTAAAAATATTATAAAAACGCTATATTTTCTGTGTTAAAATGAACCTTGGAATAAAGTACTTCTCGTGTACTTCGCGTCTTCTCTTCACGTCGCTGTATAGTTCTAGTTTGGGGATTACAGAATAGCTTAGGAAACGAATATAGCGTTCAATTCGCAAGACTTTTCAGACATAAACCTCGCATACAAGAGATATGAAGCAGAACCAAATATTTCAAAACTCATCAATGTTTACCTATGAAAAATTGTACCAATTTAGAAAATGTAGTTGGTTAGATAAATGACATTTGAAACCGATCAAATGTTTGTAAACTTTATATTAATAAATGTAATTAGTACAAGTGATTTCAATTAATTTCAAATCTAGAGATGGGATTTCATCATTGATCATACTTATCTACAATTAGACAGTTTTATTTTATCATT